CCCTGAAGCTGCTGGTAGACATCGCGGTTGGAATTATCAAAGGTTTTTGACACCTGAGAGACACCGTAGCAACTCCTTTGTGTTTGGAAGCGAGGGGTGGGGGTGGGGGGAGGACCAGGGAGGATGATTCAACCACTCAACCACTAGATGTCGCTGAAAACAACAAATCCTACACACTGTGCTTTTAAGCCAACATATGCTTTTGCTTTTATGTACAGTTTAGTAAAAAAAATGGTTACGTAGATTGTTATAAAATGGTATCAAGGGGTCTTCCAGTTGAGCGGTGTGTTTAAGTTCTTACAGAAAATTCAGCCATGTAAAGGAAAAAAAACACATGAAAAAGGAGCACCTGACGATCAAAAGTTATTTCTTCCCCCACTGAATTATGTAGATTGTCAGAGATGTTAAAGAAGTAATATCATGTAAAATCTATTTTTGAGCTTTATATCATGTTATAATGTCATAACGTAATGTTATAACATGCGAGTCTGCTGAGCTTGTAACACTATTTCTCAGTCCAGTCCTTTTTGGAATCAAAAATGCCTTTGAGGAAATGTAATTTTGTATGCCATGGGGACTAACCTCTTTTTAAGCTCCTCATGAATGACACGGTTCTTAAAAATTGTTGGACTTCAATTTTGTAACCCTTTCACAAAAAAATTGTTATATTTGTGCAAGCCACTTTAGGAATGATAGTTTTCTGAACAAAAAGGGAATTTAGTAGTGGACTAATTAGGTTACCAATAAAAGACGAAGCAATTCCAGCACTCAGGAAAACATGAACACTGTTGTCATCTGCTAGGGGTGTAAATCACCAGCTTTATCATGATATGATATTACATCGATATGTTTGGATGACGATTCGATATTTCTCAATATCACAAAGTCTGTCACGATACGATTTCAGTTCAGTTCAATTCACGTCTGCGATCGATATAATGCAATATCATATGCCCATCTAATACCATGACTGTGTTAGATGATATGATATCGATTCACATCGAGCATATGATGATGATATAGGACGATATTTACATTTTGCCTCGATACAACTGAATCATGAACCATTCAAGTCGATATATCGATATACACTCACCGGCCACTTTATTAGGTACACCACGCTAGTAACGGGTTGGACCCCCTTTTGCCTTAGAACTGCCTTAAT